ATATATATATATATATTTTACCACTTTAGAACTTACATCTTTGAGGACCTGGTTCATCCCCATCTTGCTCCACGGTATCATAGTCCTCTTTGGCTCTGGACCTGGATCCTTCCTCTGAAACCCAAAAACATAAAACCCCACTAAATATAGAACCACACTGCTCTGTAAGGTTCAAGTAGGAAATCTGAAGAACACAATCAAGGTAACTTACCCAAACCAAAGCCTCGTCCTTTCCTCTTCTTAGCTTTCTCTTTTAGCTTGTGGATGCTCTCTGACGACACAAAGAGAAGAGTCAGATCCTGAAAATGCAGCTATGCACGGTCTGCAAGCTTAACAGCTAAACAGTTTTCTATTTATCAAATTATTGTTTTACTATTACACAAACCAGATACCAGGTGTAAAGTGTGTTAATACGCTCCCTAAAGCATTTAAAACAGACATCCCCAAATGATGGGCCTAGGTCAGAATCCGGACAGACTGATAATTCTGTTGGACCCATGCTCAATCTGATAAATTCACAAAAACAGATCATTTTCATGGAGCTTTGGCACACAGAAAAGATTTGTAAGCTCAATAATCCAGGTAGATAACAACAAAAAAGGTTAAATCATGTCATCTGGACCGGTTCCTTAGGCACAGAGCCAAGCAGATGTGGGGGGTGTGTTTTGGAGGTTACCTCTATTCTAGTTATTACGGTAATAGCTTCACTCAGTTGAGACAATGAAATCATTAGTTTCCCTGCATGGTCGGTGCAGTGAGCTCAGCAGAGCAGAGGAGATAAAGGACAGCATGGCTTGTTCTAAAATAAGAAAAGTTGATGCTGAAAACAGCTGTTTTAAAGATTAATGGACAGAGAAATGTATGTTCATTCTTCTGGCAGGTAGTTCAAAACCTGTTTGCCTCATATGCTCCAAAACGGTTGCATTAATTAAAAGTGGCAACGTAAAGTACCACTACGAAACGAAGCGCATCTCTTTTGAGCAACGTTATCCACTGAGGTCCGAGCAGAGAGCAGTCAATTAACCAAACAGCAAGCCCAGTACAGCAGATCCACCCTACTCATCACAAATACTTTTACAGCCCCGCAGCATGAAAACTAATGTTCACTCAAGGTACTGTGGATCTTGGGGCAACATAAAAAAAACATTTAGTGACGGGACAGTCGTAAAGGAGTGCTTAAATGCTGTTGCTGAGACATTATGGGGCAGCTAAGGTTAGAGCAGTCGTCTTCCAATGCAAGAGTTGGGGGTTCGAATCCACCAGCAGTCACATGCCAAAGTGTTCCTGGGCAAGACACTGAACCCCTCATCGCCTCTGATGTGTGTCCCATCGGTGTATGAATGTGACAAAGCTCTGATTAGTCTCTTTAGAACGATTTGTTCAATTAGCTTCGTAGAGATCTAGTATAGAGCTGTATGAATGGGTAAATGAGAAAATTGTTGTAAAGCGCTTCGAGTATCTTGATGAGATAGAAAGGCGCTATATAAGTACAGTCCATTTACCAATATAAGATGGAAAACAAAAAGATGAGATGTGTGAAAAAAAAATAAATAAATCACACAAATCTCGATGTTATTCAACAGCAAGCAGTACTGGCACAGCTGGATGCAGCTGTTCAGAGTGCACCTCTTTGGCCATCGTTGAGTCGCATGTTACTGGTGATGCTTAGCTTCCCGAATGGAACCGACTCCATTCCAACCAAGAGTTAAATTACTGGCAGGACAATCTCATGTCCATTTCTCTCATTACGAAAAGTAAAATAAACAATTATCAAACGAGAAAACGTGCTGTTAAAAGCTCTGTTTTCAGTTATTTTTATTTGTTCTCTGAAGATCCTGACATATTTTACTTGAAAACTATTTATTCTATAGGTTGGTACCTCTTTAAGAAAAAAAAAAATGTTTGCTTGCTCTGTGCTTTTTTTTTTACTAAAAGAGACACTTTGTTTTCTCTTTTCTAAAGATGTTAACTTTTTACATTAAGTGTAAGCCTTCAATTCTTTAGGCTTGGACCTTTTCAATACAAGAGAAAAAATGCTTATTAGGCTCCGTTTGCACTTTTAAGATGTATTTTATTCAGAACTTTCCGTTTTAATCTGAAATAAAGGCCTTCAATTTGCCTGGGACTACTTTTAAATATGGTGAAATTGTTAGTTGTTTACTATAAAGTTCAGTTTGTTAACATTGAAAATGTGCACATACATGTAGAAAAGACCATAAAAGACCAAGACTTGGACTTTCATTCAGACCTTGTAATAGGAGGAAATTTTAGAAACTGGACCTCAGTGCGTTTTAATTGAATAGCCCTGACTTAAACCATTTTCAAGGCGGATTTTTTTTAAACAATGCATGTGTAGTTGTTGTCGTGGCTGGATACCACGTCGTGTTCAACACAGCTGAGACGTCGCCCTCGGTATAAAAGATTTGACAAAACATGGGTTACAGATATTCAGAGACAAACAATTACATTAATAAGATATATGCATATAAATGGAGCATTAAAGAACGAACCGTCTCGGTGTGCGCCTCCCGGAAATGCTCGGTGGGCGTGTGTCATTTCCGGCCTTTTATCACAGTTTGAGAAGGCTAGCTTTCTGATTGGTTTAGCTTCTGTTGCTATGGTTACGACTCTAGCCCGCCCCCTCAAGGACGTTAATGTCTACATTTCAGATAAGTAGTTTTGGCTCACTGAAATCGTTTGTTTTAGCTGTTTGTTTAACGTGATTATACCTTAGTGATACCAAATGATTTGAGTTAAAGTTGTTTATTTCTAGGAATAATTAATAACTATTAATTGTTATCTAACTCATGTTTGCGTGTTCTTACTTGATCCTTTTTATACTTTTTAGTTTAGTTGCTGTTGTAGCTTACTGTGACAATTAACCCTGTGTCCTCTCAGCTAAACCGACCCTGTATTCAACAATGATTAAATGTTAATGGTTATTATTAAGAGAGATCCTGAGGGATTTTATTTAGTCAAACTATATTAAGTCTAAATTAAAGAAATGTGTTCTAGCTTTATTTATGTTAATCAGTCTGCTATCTGGCATGATTTGATTGCTTGTAATATATCAAATGTGAACTTGTAAAATTATCCTTAGCTAATATGAGATTATATTTAAAGGTCAACTAGTTAGAATTAGCAAACATTTTCTATAAATATAGTTCAACCCTGGAAGAAAGACACACACACACACTTTGTATAACATGACATTTGAATGCTTGATAGGAAATATAAAAAAGGTATAAAAATATGAAATCCAACATTGTGCATGTACACATAATTACGTTATTTAAAGAAGCAAATTTTGTTTTAAATCATCATCTCTAAAACAAAAAGTAAAAATGAAATATAATTTCCAATAAGTGCCTCGGCTGTCTGCACTAATAATATCTAACAGTTGAATTACTTCACTTCCAAACAGGTTTTTGGAAAAAAATACAAGGGCAACTTTGATAAACTTAATATGATAAGGTAGTCTATCAGCTTTAGAAAGCATTTATATTAACATTTTACACAAACAAAGAGAACATTTCAAGCACACAGTGAAAGTCGAGTCTTCTCCACAAGATAAACTGGAAATTTATGAATCTAAGAAGTAAATGAATGATTTATCAAAGCATAAGAATTAAAATTTGAGCCTTTTTAAGCACCAAATTCAAACATATAAGAACTGAATCTAAGTTTCATGGGATAGCAGCTAGCTGTTAGCACGCAGGTTTGATTCATCAATTCAACTCAGACCGGAACATCACATATGAGATAATACATAATTGAAGTATCTAATTTAATCACTAAAGACTTAAATCGCTGAATACGTCTACAGCGACAGCCTGGTTGAGCTGCTAACTCGCAGACTGATGAATAGACGGAGCGATGTTAGCTACGTTAGCTTATTAGCTCGGGCCTGCTAGCACTTAGCATAGCTGAATTTTACCCGGTTGCCTGCACAGATTTCAACATTTGAACCCAATTTGTACACTTCGATACGGTGCACTTGCCAAAAAAGACAATTTAACAAAAGAAAAAATACCATCGCCATCCTCATCCATAGGAAAGTCCTCGCCTCCCGCCTCATGAAGATCCAGCACGTCCGCCATGATATTTCTCTGCGCGTGAGCGAGCGACTTGTTTTTCTTTTAGGTGTTCTAAATGACGACAATGGCTCATTACCGCCATCTGGTGGATTGTCTGTGTTAGACAAAAAGAGTAAGCGGCTGGAGCACGCTGTGCTCATGTGTGTATTAATTTTAAACTCTACAAACAGGTGACATCTTCTTTGTACTAAAACCTGATTTATGTTTAGGTTTTGTATTATTTATTTGCTCCAGAAAACACAAAATGTCACCACAACTTACTGAAAACATGTTGGTTTTGTTCACAATAATAATAATAATAATCATCATTTTATTTAAAAAGCGCCTTTCATGACACCCAAGGACACTTTACAGTAAGAACAAAAATCAACAGGAATAAATTACATAAAGAATATAAAATGCATAAAGAATATAAAATACATACAGCAAAGTTAAGGATAAGCGAGTCTAAAGATAATACAATAATTACACCAGCCAATGAGATGTTTGCCTGTCTTTGTAACATCACTGGTTTGACACCCGGCAACATCCAAATGTGGGTGGGAAAGGTGAAACACCCACACCTGCCTCCACCCTCATTTGCCCCACCCTGGGCCCCTTGAGCAAGGCCCTTAACACCCACCATATGCTCCCCCAGGTGCCCTAGATGGGCTGGTATTTTAGTAGTATAGATATTTATTATATACCCATCGGTATATATAGATGTAACCTATATATATAATTTTTTACAGTCGTTCATATCCATAAATTACATTTTTTGACTTTTCTACTTTTGCTCTTTCATCCTTAGGATCTCCCTCTTCCTAACGACACCCTGCAGATCCACCAGAGGGATCCCAGCATGACCCCAGGTCAGAGGCCCGTCAGACCCAACAAGTTCAGGGCCTGCCCGGGGGTCTCCTCCCAGTGAGACATCCAGAAGGAGGCGCCGAGGAGGCACTGATCCCCTCAGCTGACTCCTGCTCTGATGCAGAGGATCAGTGTGAGACAGTCTCACCACGGAGTGCACGTTCACTTTTGCTTCGGCCGAAGGATGTTGCAGACAGTTTTCACTGTTCAAACGTGCACTAAACGTCTGCAAAGCATCACAGACTTGGAAAAATTGAAACGGCCTCACAGAGCTGACTGCAGCTTCCCGGTGAAGTCAGCCAGAGATTTTCTTTGTGATCACTTTATTATCGCTCTCATTGTTCCTGAAGAGGAGCAGCACAACACACAAAGACTAGACAGATACACTGGTTGCCATGGAGATACCTACTACTGCGACAAGGCAACAGACGATGAGAGAGAAATGTACTTACACTAAAAAGATTTTTAAAAGATTATGCAGCCAGTGGTTGACTGGAACCTGGAAAAAGTGCACATTCAGTCAGAAGTGTCTCCTGTTTTTTCTGTGACGAGTTTATCAGCAGCTGCTGCAGATTGTTACGTAAATGTTGATAGGAGACGGGTTCTTAGACTTTGTCATTAGTTAATAAACTTTGTGCCACACTTTGTGACACTCCTGCGAGTGGACAGCCTTCAACATACAGAAACATTCCACTAAGCAGGAGCTGTAAAGTTTTACAACACGAAAAGGATAAAAATAAATGTTTCATTTCCTGAAATGTAAAATAAAAAGAGTGCAGGTTTCATGACGCAGACCAAAAGGAGACCGTGTGAAAATAAAAAGGGGATGTTTCACTGTGGAAAACAATAAGATGTCTTCCTCAAATAAATTAAGATATTTTTTATTTAATGGTATTTCCAGTGATTAACAGTTGATGTGTCGACTTTGTTCAAATGTTTATAAGATTTGCAAATCCTTGGATTCTGTTTTGATTTACGTTTTTCACAACAACCAAACTTTTTCAAAACTGGGGTTGGACATAAAGAGGCTAAATTAAATTAAAGTCTGTTCCCGAAGCAGCTGCGTTATAATATTCACGTGTGTGAAACAAGAAGAATTTCATTTACTTGTAAAATCTATAATGTTCACCCAGAAACTGCACATTCTTGATCAGATGTGAGGGAAACATTTGTGCCGAATGTGTGAAAAATGTTTCTGAGTTCCAGTCAGAGCTTGTCGTCTGCTCCAAGCCGTGTCACGCTCAGAGAGGACTTTGGATCTTTCTGGTGACAGACAGTGTGAAGCATCAAGGTTCAGCCAGCGCAGAGCTCCTTCTGACCTTTCACTGCTTCTTCTTCGTGGAAGTGATGAAACTCTGTGGCTATAAAAACCTCCAAGCGTCAGTCAGGAGGCACCATCAGGTCCAGGAACCCCAGGAGTTCAGGTGGGTCTTCGTTTGCTTCACTGGATTATCAGACAATTACACATTTTTAACGTTCATTGACTTTTAACTTCATTTGACGGAACTTTTTTACCATTTGTAGGTCGGTCTTCCTCATCTGCAGACATGAAATTCTCCCTTGTTGCCTCTTTTCTTGTTCTGGCTGTTGTCTACAGTAAGACATCTTTGATCCAATTACAAAAATATACAGTTTTATTTTGCATTCAGTGCGTAGAACATCAAAAAGCCTAAAAAGCACCTTTATTTTAACTCCGCAGTTGAAATTTTCACACCCATCATGGACATTTTAGAGTGCATTGCATTCATTTTTGCACATTTTACTCCAAAACGACAGAGAATGAAGAAAGCAGAGCTCAGATTTGATCTTTGTAACGTGTCAGTTTCAGTTTGTCCTTCTTTGGGTGTGAAGTGCGTTGGATTTCAAACACGTCGGTTGTTTTCCAGGCTCGGAGGCGAGGACTCTGGTGAAGCGTGAAGGTCAGTCTGATGTGGACAGGATCGCCCAGCTCTTCAAGGACATGTCCACCAGCTTGTCCTCTGCGACGCAGGAGATGGTCGAGTAAGAAAAGTTCTCCTCTGACTCTGGGTTTGATGCTTCATTCTCACTGGATCATTGTGGAGGGAGGGTGACAGTAGAACAGTTACCTCTCACCACAGTTCCACTTTATAATCCTTTCAAAATAAACTACAAATGAGGAAAGACTCTGGGGATGCTCAGGGTTAGCTTCAATAAAAACACCCGGACTGGAAACACCCTGTTGGAAAACAGCTCGTCATTATCAGATGTGGGATGGTTGAGGCAAATCTGCCCATTTTAACTGGACTTTTAAAATATGTAATTTAGCTCAAATCACTTTTTACAGTTTGCAAATGTACTCAGAGAATCAAACGAGCAACACAGAGTTGTTCTGATGGCTGGTGTTTGAGTCCGACGGGTGAAGATACGAGACAGTAAATACGTCTCATCTTACTGTGGCACCTAAAAGCCCTTTAACTCCGTTTAAATAACCCTCAGGATCAAAATGTTACCCATCACTGATCCAAAATGTGTCCAAAAATTACAGAATTTCTAAACTGAAAAGAAGACTTTATTATCGCTTATTGTAATTTCACCTTTTACAGCTCATTTAAAAAAAATAAACATTTTTAAAGACGCCTGAATTAACATTATTAATCTTTTGTCTGCAAAGTGCACATCAATCATTAAAACCATAGTTGCATAAACACTTGTTATCAATAAAACCAATTGTAGCAGCATGATCACTTCCTCTGTGTTGCACAGGACGTACATGGGGGACGGCAGGACCAGGATCCAGCCTCTGATGGAGCAGGTCCAGGCCGAGGCCTCCAAGCTGCAGCAGCAGGTGAAGCCGTTCATCAGCAACATGGAGGAGCAGGTGAAGCCGCTGTCGGACAGTCTCCAAACCCAGGTCAAGCCTCTGACGGACATGATGGAGAAGTTCCTGCAGGAGATGCTGGACCAGTCCAAAGCCCTGCTGCCTCCTCAGTAAACCTCCCCGCTGCTGGATCATCCCAGAACAAATAAGACCCAAACTGAGCCCAGCTGGGCCCGGACTCTCCCCCTCTGCTGTCTGACATGTAGAACGCCGTCATTAAACGGGGCTGAAAGCCTCGAGTCTGAGTTACTGTTTGTTTGCTTTCATTTTGCTTTTAAAGCCAGAGGTCAATTAATAAAAAATAACAACGTTTAAATGAAATAAGCTGCATGAAACTGAGCTGCTGTTAAGATCAGCCACCTCTGATCTTCAGACCATCAGATTTTCTATGATTATACAATTATTTCAAGTTCCAAGTTGTTTATAAAAAATAAAACTGTGACAACATCAACTCAGAAGAACAAAAGTACAGATTTTAGACCAATTAATCAAACTAACTACGACAAATCAGACACAAATAATAAAATATACAATATTCCTCGCACAGTCAGCTCAAAATATTTAAAACAAGACCTGTTTAAGACCTATAGTAACAAATATTTGTGGATTTCTTAATGATATAACAGGTATTAAATCTCAAATCTCAAATGAAAGTCTGGACTGCAGAAACAAATCTTAAAAAGCCAAATATTCTATTTCATAAACAGAAAACAGAAAATCCTCGGTGTTTTCCACACATGAATGATTTTTCTAACGTTGCCCTGCAGCGTCTCAGAGTGGATTTGATCAAGGCTCATCTGTCGTGGAGGGAAACAGGAGGACTTGACTTTTATCTGAAAGCAGAGTTCGATTAAACGCTGATCCACCGGGACGTTCAGCTCTTCCTGAAACCCTCAGCTTGTGCCTCGGAGCAGCGAGGGAGACGATGACTTGTTGTTAGCTCAAGCATGAAACAACAAAATCACTAGTCTTCCACGCTGCTCCGGACTCGCCGTGTGGAACAAACGGATCGCAGAAAAGAATCAGTCTCGTTGGAACTCAATGCTCAGCGTGGCCTCCTCGAGCTCTGAGGGAAACCTCGGTGGCTCTCCTTCAGAGCTCCTCACATGTTTGGCCTGAAGGCCGCGGCCTGCAGCTCCACAGAAGAACTGGCAGTGCCGAGCTGCCGTGTCCTTGTGCTCCGAGAGATTAGCGGGTCAGCTGGAAGCGTTTCAAGAAGAAACGTTGTTATCTCTGCAGGACTGCTTGAACATCTCACTGCTCTTGTATGTGAAGCAGAAACGCTCTGTTTGATTTCTTCTTTTTGAGTGGGAAAACAATTAAACCCCACACAACCTTTAGTTTCTGTCTGACCGGAGTGTAGAGGGCTGGACCTGCAGAGGGTTCAGAGATGGCGGGGTGTGATGTTCTGCAGAAAGGACAAAGATGAGGTGGAGGAACGCTCAGAGGTCAAGGGTCAGCGTCGGGGGTTATCTGCTGGGACAAACCGTGTGATTCGGCGGCGGACGGCCCTGCACGCTGGAACAGAGAAGAAACACGGCGGACGAGCCGTGATTCAGAACGTTTTGTTCACTAACAAATAAAAAAAAAAAAAACCCACGGTGGTCGTTTCTTTCCAGCTTCTTCAGTGAAAACTGCAGCACTGCTGGTTTTTAACAGCTGCTTTGTTCCTTTGTCATCACATCTGGACACGTTTAAATCAGGTGCTTCAGACTTCTGGAAATAAATCCTCCACAAAACACCCCAAAACTCTGTGACTTTTCTGTTAAACATACAATAAAAAAGATAATAATTATTATTAATAGCTCAACAGCTGCAGGAATCATAACGCTCAAACATGTTGTTTTCTTTCTCCCAACAGCTGGAACTGATGTTTTTAATGAGATCAAAGCTTTTTAAGATGAGAAACATTTTGCATCTCCTGGTGATTTCCAACAGCTACATTCATTTAACGTCACAGTTTTTAACATCGATCAGCGCTGATTTGATGTTAATATTAAAGTTTTAGACATTTAGGTCAGAGATTTTACTGAAACTCGATGGTTTGTCAGGCGACAACGCCGCCATCGCGCCGCTCTGTGTGTGTGTGACAGTGAAACCTGACGTGCACGAGTGTGTGCAGGCTTTCTCTTTGCATCTGAATGTAGATCGTGCCCCGTACGTGTCATTTGTAAGCGTGCACGTTGGCATGTTGTGTTTGAATCATCCTTTTTGTGCAGCGCTATTTTAAACTGACGTGAATTTTAAAAGAATCAGATTTTTTTGTTGAAAAATGTACAGAGACGCATTCAGACTGGACCCGTTGCACATCAAACATGTCTTTAAAAAAAGAGTGGGTGACACCAGAGGATGATAAAAACATAAACATGAATTGTGGAGAAAAATGCTTTTTTTGATTTTGTGCGTGCACAAACCTGCTGAGGTGAAAGTGAAGCTGTTCAAAAGGCAACGAACGTTCAGAACAAGCACACGAGAAGTGACTGACGGGAAAATGCTTTTCCACTTACCGTTTCTGAATGAGACCCCTGGGGTCATCCACCCGAGGGGCGACTGCAGGCGGACAATAAAAAAAACAACAACAAAAAAAAAAGACAATTTTCAGAGACTCTAAGGAAAAAGTATAAAAGCAAAGGTTTGTGATGCTGGCCCGCAGGACTGATGCTGCAAAGACTGGGACCTGGGGGGCCGGTCTAACGTCTGAGGAGACGCAGCAACGGCCTCTGCAGAAGAAAAGCCAGCGTCTGTCTCCTTCGGCCAGCGGAGAACACTGACAGATATGTTTTTGCTGCCACGGGTTATGTTTTTACTCAGGACTGACAGACAGACAGCCCCCGTGCACACAGGTGCTATTCAAGGAAACTGTGTAAAAGTGACGTCACTGAGGAAAAATTGAGCCCATAAACCTTTTCAGCATCAAAATCCCGCCCACTGCATGTTCAGATCTTTGTCCATTTCTCCATTTTTCCCTCTCTCCAGTCTTTGTCCGTCAGTCTTTACAGATTTTTATCTCTTAAGGCCATAAAGTGCATTTCAACAAATTACGAGAGCCACAGCTGAATCTCCTGCCTGTTGATTTACTCTCACACACACACACACACACACACACATTTTCTCACACCAACGCTCCTTCACACACAGTATAGGTTGAGCAGCCTATATGAATCAATGTGTGTTTGTTTTTTACAGCACAATACGAGCTTTGAGCGTCTTCTTCGCCATTTTTGCGGCTTTTTTATTTATCTTTTTGAACGAATGGATGCAAAAGCACCAAATGAAGCGTACCCCAATTTTCATAGCCCTCCAATTTGGAGCACGGCTGCTCCTCTCTAATGCTGAAACACCACTTTGTGAAATTACAGTACAATTTTGAAAAGTAGAAACAGGCAGCAGGCAATTCAGGTGCTCAGCCTCAGCAACAATGGACCGCTGGCCTTGGTGATGGTTGCTAGGCGATGGAGGAAATACAATGGCCTCCTCTGAAACCAAAGGCCCTTAAGTGGACTGACAGGAGTGAAAGCACACACACACATGCACACATAAACTCACAAAATAAAGCAATGGAGGAAAAAGGAGAGTGCAAGTGAAGCCGTGCACCGTCTTTATGTTCACGTGCTGTGGAGACGTGGCTGCTGCCGGTCGCAGGTTGGACCAAAAGGCCTGAATTGGTCCAAAATGGATGAGAATTGTCCAATTTGTCTCGTCCCAAATCTCATCCAGTACACAAACTGTGTTAAAACACACAGCAAGAATTAAAAATAGAAAGATACTTTTAATGCAAAGTTGTTTTCGCAGAAGGTGCAGATAACGTTTCAGGTGCATCGACCGATCAGAGTCTGCTGCCTTGGAGCCCATCTTTCTGCTCATTTCTCCACCCGTCTGTGAGTCGTCACAGAAAAACATTTATCTGCTGCTCGTCTCAAACATTCACGCGTCTGTCAATCAGGCCGATCAATCGCTCGGCTTCGTCTTCTCTGCTCCAAGTAAACAAATAAAAATGATGTGGACTTTATGGAGCTCAACATAAAGTCAAACATTTTAAACAGTAAATTTATTTCCTGCTTTCCTGACACGTTAGACTTTAATAAATATAAAGAGAAATAAGAACATTTGAATTATTTATCTTAGTTCTTGATGAGTAGAGGAATATTTTGGTCTCATTGTATCTTATTATCTCCCTCTGCACATTAATTTGTTGATGTCCTCTTCTCTTATATTGTGACTTTTATATTTGTATTTGTGCGGCCATCTTGACTCCCTCAAGAAGAAATGATTTATCTGAATGGGACATTTCTGGTGAAACGGAGGTTTAAAAAAATATTTCAGTGAGCAAAGAAGTAATAATGTTTTATTATATATGACACTTAGAAAGTCTGAAATTTATTAAATCATAAAACTCTACGTTTATTGACCCCCGGGGGGTAATCTAAGTGTTTTTGTCTTTGTATGGCTCATGTAAATGAGAGTGAGACATTAATAAAAAAGAAGATTTAAAGAGAGAACTTTGTAAATTTATGCAATAAAATAAAACCTTTTGTCAATAATCCAATTTTCTATTAGAAATTTTTTTTTTTATTGTATAGTAAAGCATCATGAGGAATGGGAAACTGTAAGAAATTACAAATTAAAAGTCCAAAACAAACAAACAAACAAAAAAAAAGTTGATGTATTGTTTAGTTGGGCCAAAAATATGTCATTGTCAGTTTATTTATATATAATTACATAAATACAACCAAAGCTGAGCAAAGCGCTTTACAATTTAGTCAAATTAAAATAAAAACAAAATAAAGAGCAATAAAATATTTTTGTGTCAGTGTAGAAACTCAAGAAAGATAAAAATAAAACACACAATAACAACATACTGAGACATAATTTATACTGATTTTATGATAAACACACGTTTTTTGTATAAAAAAATGAAATAAAACATGTTATTAACCACTAATATTATAAAGAAAAATATAAAAATATCACTTTATGAGATTAAAATCAGCTACTTAGACTACAAGCATGTCTTAAAGCCATAAAAACCTGGATGACCCTAAATTTTCTCCTTTTGAACACAAAGACTGAGGTTATACGTTTTGGACCTGAGCACCTTAGGAATACATTTTTCAGTCTTTCTCCCTCCTTAGATGCATTAATCTGTCCTCCAGCTAAAATGTTAAAAATCTTGGTGTTATTTTTGATCAGGGCATGTCTTTTATCCCCCACATTAAAAACGTTACCAAAACCACCTTCTTCCACCTGCGTAATATCTCTAACATTAGAAACATCTGATCTAAAGATGATGCAGA